CTTGTCTCTATCAGTAACTTGTTAGCTTTGTTCCAGCAATGAGTCGTTAGCCCTGTTTCTACCGATGAATCTCTATTAATAAATTGTTCAAATGTAAAGTGACCCTATGAAAAAACAAAAAAAGTGTAACGAACCTATTACAGAGTAGGAGTAACCTGTTATTTTGAAAATATATATAATACGGCTGTTCTGATTTTGAAAAGATTAAAACTAATTACTTCTGTAAGTTTCTAAACTAATAGAATCTGAACTTGGCTAATTTTAAAAAAAGAGTAAATATTCAATATAATTACGCTGGTTTAACAGGTGCTAAATTATACAGGGCAAAGCTACCCACCTGGTATTCGTAGGCACATAAAGGCGCTGACTGGTTAAAACGTTGGATGGCGCTACTGTGTACCCCCGATAGCCATCTACTCTGCAGAGCACGGGGCGAAGCGAGTTAGTTGAGGCTGACTGACTAAACGACATAGACAACACGTGCAGCCAGCCGTGCTGTAAAGTCCAATGACGATGTAATACACGGATTCTGTACCTGTTTCTGTAATAAGAATGGATACCTGGACTAGACTACTTACCCTTCTCCTGGTTGTGAAAGGTAAGAAAGCACTTCGAGATAAACGTTTTTTTCTTATCTGTTTTATTTCCGTCATGAAGTTGTGTTTGAATGTTTGTTTGACAAGAAACGTTACGTATCACAAGCAACGTCATGCTACACTGGAGGAACGTGTGAAAACTTGTATCCGGTCAGGGGGAGATAGCTAGATACCACAGACGTATATTAGTCTGCTTAAATTTAAAAACAAATTCGAAGTCACCGTAAACACAAGCCGGATATACTGGCCTTGTTTACACCGTAAATACTAGCCGGATATACTGGCCTTGTTTCCACCGTAAACATAAGCCGGATATACTGGCCTTGTTTCCACCGTAAATATAAGCCGGATATACTGGCCTTGTTTCCACCGTAAACATAAGCCGGATATACTGGCCTTGTTTCCACCGTAAATATAAGCCGGATATACTGGCCTTGTTTCCACCGTAAATATAAGCCGGATATACTGGCCTTGTTTCCACCGTAAATATTAGCTGGATATACTGGCCTTGTTTCCACCGTAAATATTAGCTGGATATACTGGCCTTGTTTCCACCGTAAATATTAGCTGGATATACTGGCCTTGTTTGCATCGTAAATATAGGCCGGATATACTGGCCTTGTTTCCACCGTAAATATTAGCTGGATATACTGGCCTTGTTTCCACCGTAAATATAAGCCGGATATATTGGCCTTGTTTCCTCCCTGAACATTTAAGAATGGGAATTAAAATGAAACGAAAGAAGAATAAATTTTGGGGCAAAATTATCGAATTCTACAACGAAAGAATAACAACAGCGTTGTGAAACAAAGTTCACAGTTACGGTGATAAAGTAACCAAACCCTACTAACAATAAACCCCTTAGATATTATATACATACCATCATTATAAGAGGCCAAGCTGCATTTCTTTGCTTTGCTGACCAAAGCTGTCCTGGTGAGCTTTGAATAGAAGAAACTACATTCCAAAACAGAGGGTGTGGTGTACGTAAAAGAGAGAGACGTCACAAGTTAGCCTTCTCATTCCTACAGAACTGTACGTAAAGAGAGAGACGTCACTAGTTAGCTTTCTCATTCCTACAGAACTGTACGTAAAGAGAGAGACGTCACAAGTTAGCCTTCTCATTCCTACAGAACTGTACGTAAAGAGAGAGACGCCACAACTTAATCCTCTCATTCCTACAGAACTGTACGTAAAGAGAGAGACGTCACAAGTTAGCCTTCTCTTTCCTACAGAACTGTACGTAAAGAGAGAGACGCCACAAGTTAACCATCTCATTCCTACAGAACTGTACGTAAAGAGAGAGACGCCACAAGTTAACCCTCTCATTCCTACAGAACTGTACGTAAAGAGAGAGACGCCACAAGGTAGCCTTCTCTTTCGTGAATACCTGTGTGTTTAAGAAGAGAGACGCATGATTGTATTTCTGGAGTGATGAGTTTATACCTCTAAATGTAGAAAACTGGTCAGTTAGTTAAGTTGAAAGAGAATATTTAAGCTCTTTCCAACTTTCAAAGAGTTGTGTACATTCGGATAAGCACCTCTTAAAGTTATAATATTAACTGTTCTCCAGAACAGACCCCTCTCCTCCTCCAGTGGGTCAGCGTTATAACGCCAAAAAAAATCTGATTTCGATGGGCAAAGCACCGATAGCCCATTACGTAACCTTGTCCTTAATAACACAAACAAACCAAACTCTATACGAGAAGAACTCTTATGTTTGCATTACTTGTCTTTAGAAATAACTAAAGCTATTAACGTAAACGACGTAGTAGAAGAAGAAGCTCGTTTTTTGGTAGAATTTCCTTAACGCTGGACTTAATTCAGGTAAATTAACATCCATACTTGACGAGTAAATGTGTAATAATAGACATAACGAATGAAACTAACTCTAAATGAAGAACATTATAGACAAATAGATGTTAATAAATTATATGTTCTCAAAGCGTTTTATAATTTCCATAGTTTAGTACTTAAAACGTTGTCAAACATTTCGCGAGTTATATGAAATCCAACACCATACTAATTATCCAATATATAAAACTTGAAGTTTCGGAGGAAATCTTTCGACAAGTATCTGAGATCTCACGTTTCGAGTACGAAACCCATCTTGAAAGATGCACATGTTTCTGTGTTTATCCTAATATAAAAAAACACTACTTTTTTTCATGCCTTCATCTTTCTCACCAACAGATGGACAAAAAAGTAACAATGATGACAAAATCTTACCCTTTTTTATGGTTTAAAAACCCATACATTTTAATAACAAATACCTTTTCTGATCAATGCGGGAAAAGTATCCTTATCTAAGTATCGTCGGGTGGATTCTTCTTCAGTGAAACATTGTTTCAGATTTTAATGTACTTTCGACCTATTGTTAGCGGTTTAGATATTATTATAAAACGTTTTGTTATTTCCTTGAAATAATTAAGAAAAGACCGTAAAGAGTGGACGCGAGTTTTAAGCACGTTATCTCGTTGAGGTACAGCGAACACCGGCTCGTGTTGCGTGACGTGAGCGTGGTTTAATTGTACCTCAGAAAGGCAACATTTACAGGCCTCCGATAAACTACCACAAGCAGAAAGTTTCGTCTTCAATGTCCTTTATGTGGCGTTGGAGAACTTGTAAGCGTTTGCTATGGTATATTAAATAAACATGAATTCCAGGCGCTAACATGTGTGGTAGATAAACAATACGTGTAATTTTTTTTATTATAGTTTGTTTGAGCTATTGATCGCCTACTAACTACGTTGATTGTATTTATGTGTACAGAGAGATTTAGGTCGGGCCACATAAAATATGTAGATAAAATATTGCACACTCTTGATCTTTGTTGTTAAGCAAAAAGCTACACAATAGGCTATCTGTGTTGTGACCACCACGGGTATCGAAACCCGGTGTTTAGCGTTACAAGCCTACTGACTAACAGCATGGCCACTGGGGTCCTCTTAACCTAGTCATATTAGTCAATGTGAAGGAAGATAGGTGGGGTGGGGGTATTTGCGCGTTATTAAGCACAAAGCCACACGTTGGGCTATCAGTGCTGTGCCCATTGTAGGTATCTAAGCTCAATCCGAGTTTTAGCGTAATAAGTAAAAACCGCTAAATGATATTTTTTCGTGATATACAAGCGTAGCGTGAAATAAATCCAAACGTAGCAAGGAATATTGTAAATAGATATTACAGAAACATGCGGTATGTTTGTAACTATGTGAACAACTTTGAAAGTTTTACAGAATAATGCTGTTTTCGTTTTCCGAAATATTGTATTTATTTCACATAGAGTAATATGAACGTCAAAGACCCACTCGTGAAAAAAAAAGGAATTCCGAACGACAGTTTATTTAAACTCTTAATGAAACACTGTTATTACAACATTGTTATTACTGTTGGAACATAAAAACTGTGCTTCAGTTGAGGCTATCAAACATGTATTTATTGTTAACGGAGACGCAAACACAGGTTTCTTATTCACCTGTAGCTCGTTACACGGGGTGTGAATACCAGAAAAAGCAGCTCTTTTTGGTAATTTTTAATTATCTTCAGCCTAAAACACAATGATCTTTGTATTCTACAAGATATACGGTAAGATCGGATATCAGTTCTTGTCATGATTAGAAGCCTATACGGTTGGATATCAATCCTTGTCATGGTTAGGGGTTGATATCCAATCGTATAGGCGTCTAACCATGACAAGGATTGATATCTAACAATAGAGGCCACTAACCATGACAAGGACTGATATCCAACCGTATAGGCATAAAAACTGATATCCAACCGTATAGGCCACTAATCATGACAAGAACTGATATCCAACCGTATAGGCTTCTAACCATGACAAGGATTGATATCCAACCGTATAGACCACTAACCATGACAAGGTCATGGTTAGAAGCCTAAACGGTTGGATATCAGTCCTTGTCATGGTTAGTGGCCTATACAGTTGGATATCAATCTTTCTCATGGTTAGTGGCCTATACGGTTGGATATCAGTCCTTGTCATGGTTAGTGGCCTATACGGTTGGATATCAATCCTTGTCATGGTTAGTGGCCTATACGGTTGGATATCAATCCTTGTCATGGTTAGAAGCCTAAACGGTTGGATATCAGTCCTTGTCATGGTTAGTGGCCTATACAGTTGGATATCAATCCTTGTCATGGTTAGTGGCCTATACAGTTGGATATCAGTCCTTGTCATGGTTAGTGGCCTATACAGTTGGATGTCAATCCTTGTCATGGTTAGATGCCTATACGGTTGGATATCTGTTCTTGTCATGGTTAGAAGCCTAAACGGTTGGATATCAGTCCTTGTCATGGTTAGTGGCCTATACAGTTGGATATCAGTCCTTGTCATGGTTAGTGGCCTATACAGTTGGATATCAGTCCTTGTCATGGTTAGTGGCCTATACGGTTGGATATCAGTCCTTGTCATGGTTAGAAGCCTATACGGTTGGATATCAGTTCTTGTCATGATTAGGGGCCTATACGGTTGGATATCAGTTCTTGTCATGATTAGTGGCCTATACGGTTGGATATCAGTCCTTGTCATGGTTAGAAGCCTATACGGTTGGATATCAGTCCTTGTCATGGTTAGTGGCCTACACGGTTGGATATCAGTCTTTGTCATGGTTAGAAGCCTATACGGTTGGATATCAGTCCTTGTCATGGTTTGAAGCCTATACGGTTGGATATCAGTTCTTGTCATGATTAGTGGTCTATACAGTTGGATATCAGTCCTTGTCATGGTTAGTGGCCTATACGGTTGGATATCAGTCCTTGTTATGGTTAGAAGCCTATACGGTTGGATATCAGTTCTTGTCATGATTAGTGGCCTATACGGTTGGATATCAGTTCTTGTCATGATTAGTGGTCTATACGGTTGGATATCAGTCCTTGTTATGGTTAGTGGCCTATTATGTACATACTAATAACCAGTTAGTCTAAAATTTATCTCATGGTGTTTGGATCGAAAAAAATTAAAACAATTAAAAAGGGATCACAG